CGTGTCTTTGTAATAGTGATTCTGAGGTCCATTACAAAGACACATGGTTAAATTATTCCCTCTGTGGGACAAGAGTGTGTGGTACCTTGTGTTTGTACTTTTGTGGTTCTTGGGGATGTATTATAGTTTTATTATAATGTTGACCCATAAATAAATAAAATATATCAATGAATTTAAAAATATAATAACTCATGGACTTCTCAGGTGGTGCTAGTGGTAAATAACAAGCCCACTGATGAAGGAGATGAAAGAGATGCAGGTTCAATTCCTGGGTCAGGAAAATCCCCTGGAGGAGGGCATGGCAGCCCACTCTGATATTCTTGCCTGGAGAATCCCATGGACAGAGGAGCCTGGTGGGCTACAGTCCATGGGGTCACAAAGAGTCAGACATGACTCAGGTGACTGAGCATGCATACGGTGTTGGCTGTGCTCTACTTGGCTATGTAAGCTGTGAAATTAAACAGCAGAATTAGCATTCACACTCTCTGTTCATGAATAAGATTCTTTTAATGACAGTGTATTTAGACACAGATAGAGAGGAGTTTAATTATTGATCGAGTTTCTTTTCCTGAACAGAATACATAGAATGTTCTTTCAAAACTCAACAAAAATCATAGGACATACACTCTTAATATATGATGTAAATTGGGTGTGTGGCATCCTTGGGATGCAATGAAAATAGTGACAAGTAAACAATAAAACAATAGCAAATCAATTTAGCAAAACCAGAAAGTGGAAAGCATTTGATGAGACACAACTTCCACAAAGAAACCGTGAGGTGCTGACAGAACTCTTATATAACCTTCAATGCTGGAAGGGCCGTTGTCATAGTTGTTCCTGGAAATCCTGAGGTTTTATTTTTCCTAATCACCTACAATATTGTGCAAACAGCATTGACTAATTTATATTGTGTTTCCTCTTAAGGCTGACTCAGGTTCAGTTCTCAAAGGGGTGCAACAGAGCAGCATATAGGAGGCATATGCAAAGAAGCTTCCAGATGTGGGACAGAACGTGGCCTCAGGAAGGTCACGCGGGTCAAACTGATTACCTCCTCCAGCACTGGCAAGCAGAGGGCTCAGCTGGGTTACCCAAGTTCACAGGAGCTGTTGACATTCAGCTGCAGCTCTCACTCCTTACTGACCGGCAGGAGACAGGCTGGGCCTCCGGTTAACTCTTCCGTGCCCTGTTTCAAGATTGCACCGAGGTCAAAAAAGAACCTGTGACTTCACCTTAGCTTATTCCTGGTTGTATTGAAGAAATAAACCCATTAAACCAATATCTAATATACCTCTTACAAACGATGGTGACAATCCACTTAATCATTTTGAAGATTCTGGATAAGACATGAGTAAATGTGTTTGTCACGTTATTTCTCCATCATGCAGTTCATGTTTATTTCTGGGGAGGGTGGGAATGGGGTAAGGTTTACCATTTTAATTTTCATTTTTCAATCAGAAATTCCCACTTTGTCTTTAATAAAGAAGATATGATTTTTTAAAAAGATAATAACAAAAGGTGCGTGTTTCCTCTGAGTTGTTCATGTAAAATGAACCTCAGGGAAAACCTTCATACCTCGGGGAAAAACTTGATCTGAGACTTGGAGTTTCAGGGAAACTCTCAGTTAGGTTACAGACTCTGATCTCTATGCTAAGCGAGTTCCTTCAAGTTCTGATCTCCTGTTGACACATTATGGTCTTCTAGAAGTGACTTAACCATCTGCTTCTATAAACTCATTTGTAAATTGGGAATGACAATTAATCCATGAAACCTCTCTCTCTGATAGCAGTGGGAAGATTGACCTACTGTCTAATCCTAGGGCCTCTAAATTATCTTTATCATCAGTAGCTCTCTGTTCACCAGCATTCTACTGGTCCTGAAACTGAATCAGTGGTTCTCTTTTATTCCTAATTAAAATGGTTTAGGATCTATATACAATGGAGGCCCATTTTTCTTCAACTACTTTTTTTTTAAACAAAAATGTCTTAACTTCATTAAGGGTAAAGCATATGTGAGGCCAAAGCCCTACCCTTAAGAAGCATGTTGTTTAGCCAGAAGACAGAGCGTTACAACACGATGTGGTCAATTCTGGAAAATCCAAATGAATGATTCAGACTCCAGGTGGATTGGGGGAGGTAGGAATTATCCTGTTTGGTTTCAGACTCTGTCAGATGGCCTAGCTAACTGCCAAATCTCCATTTGACCTGAGGAAATAAACAAGACTACTTATATAGTTTCTCTCAGTCATGATTTTAATCCCCAAGGCAGAGATCCCTAGGTTTACCTCTTTCTGTAACATTTGACACAGTTGACAATTTTCTCTGTTATAGAGGTTCTGGGAGCTATGTCAGTTTTAGTGTTTGAATTTAGTGTGAATAAAGTAAATTGAATGATGCTGGTCCTGAATAAGTATTAGCTTTCTACCTTTCTGTCTCCAAACTCTTCCACTTGATTTCAGTCACCCCCCTATATCTTCAGGCATTTTCCAAATCTTTCACACTAATGCCCAGCCCTCTTTTGAGCTCCAGCTCCATTTCTGCACTTACTGGCTCTGCCTTTTCCCTCCTGTATCCCAATATCATTTTTAACTTACAAGTCTGTAGTAACATGTTTCATCAAGCAAGCTTCTTTCCTGACTTCTTTTTTTGTAGCATATAAAGTCATCATTCACCCTGTTAACCAGCCTTTCAACTTCAGAGTTCTCTTTGATTTCTCCTTTGGCTTTCCCATACAATTTCTCTCCCATCACCTAAATCTGATCTTCAGGCTTTCCTTAATTTATTTGTACATACCTGTCATCAGAAAATCTTCTTGAAACAAAACTGTCATTCTCTCACTCATCTGTCACACCCTTGAGGACCACAGGGCAAACTCCACACTCCTGAATGTTACATTTAAACTTTGTAATGCCTTCTATCAGCCTTATTACTAATGATACCCACCACTGTCTTTATTAGCACCCTCCAGAGTTATTCCAGCCCTGAAATGCTCTGTATAGTACCTCCTTCTCTGCCCATCTACACTTGCCTTCTCTGCAATCAATATACTACACTTGTTCAAGATCTTATTCAGGTGGCCACAAAACCGGCACCGATTCCTCTTGCAAACAATCTACCTTCTGATATATAGTGCTTAAGTTCTGCTTTTCTGAAGAAACTTCATATTTACTATGTTACAAAACAAAAATTCAACTGGGTATATTTTAAAGATTTTTTTTTTTACTTTATTCGATGATTCGCAGTTGGGCAACATTCCAGCTAGCAAATAGAAAGGAGCTCCGAGTAGATGTATGAAATGGAAGACTTTGGGAGGCAGAAGGGGTGAAAGTTACTAGCAAAAAGTAGATTGTTGTGGCAAGGTCACCTTCCTTTAGGAGGCAGCAGGATCTATCAGAAAGGTTACCTCACTTGTGCTGACCAGGTCATTTCAGACTGACTTAAGATTCCACTCCTGGAGAGGCTGAAACTGTAATCAAGTTAGGTATCAAGTCCTGGCTTGGTGATGTGGACTTAGCAGAAACGACTCCATTTGGGACATGTTGTCTCATTTAAATAACTATCAGGACCACATTGGTGGTGGCTTAATTGCTCAGCCGTGTCTGACTGTTTGTGACCCCATGGACTGTAGCCCACCAGGCTCCTCTGTCCATGGTATTTCTCAGGGAAGGATACTAAGTGGGTACCCATTTCCTTCTCCAGGGCATCTTCTTGACTCAGGGACTGAACCTGGGTCTCCTGTATTGCAGGCACATTCTTTACTGACTAAGGCACCAGGAAAGGTCATAAGTACTTATTAATTCACCCTACTTCTATGCTCTAAGAAGATAGAGGATATTGTGTCTTCTTGATGTTTGAATCTTCATCAGCACCCAGCAAAATGCTTTTTAAATAATCGATAGTTAATAATTCTATTGTAAAAACAACACGAGTAAAATAGAACTAAAAACTATCTTTTCCTGAGTAGTTTGAAATATTAAAAATTTTTGAACATGAAAACTGTAATAAAATCCATTCTAGTTCATCATTATCTGTATTCAAATTTCAAGAGGATGACGAAAAACTAAATCTATTTTTTGACCTATAGAGTTAAGGACAACAGATGGCTTATAAACTAAGATTAAAATTAAAATGTGAAGAATTAATATCATCAAGAGTGAACATCCCATTGGATTGCAAGTAGAATGGGAAAAGTCAAATAATGTAATCAGACTGTTCTCATTTGGCTCTCAATTAATAACTAGAAGTTACAAAGTTCTGCTCAGGAATATTAATAGCAATGTCCAAGCAGGAATTTCTATGATTTCATCTATGCAAAAAATCTAAGGGAAATAAATGAAATAGAAAGAGTAATTTCTGGGAAAATATGGATAATTTATTATATTATGGTGAAGCAATTAACAAATTAAATATTAGTATGTTAAATACTAAAATAACAATATTTTATATCATTATATATAAAAAGAAAGACTTGTTTGTGTGGCTTGTGGCAGAGTGTACAAGAAGGGTATGAAGCTATTGAAGAGGATATAAAACTACCTTTTTGAAAAGGAACAGTGACAAATTTGGTAATATGGTAAAATCACTGTTGTGAAAAATACTTCTGAAAGACCTACTACACAGATGAACATTTTTCCTATCTGAAAAGAGAAGAAGAAAATTGAATTTTGTCTAATCACTGCTTTTAACCTCTAGGGTTGAGTCTGTCACTCCTTGGTCATTAGAAATGCATTCTTTTTCTGCCAATGTTCTTGACTTAAAATTGTGGTATTCCTATTGGGTATTTTCCTTCCTCTGACAGGTAACTTTTTATTACTGCTTTTATTCAGAAATGAAGAGTTCCTCTTTAAAACTGTTATAGATCAACATATAAGTATGAGATGGTGGCACTTTTCTTGACCCCACGATGTGACTTTCTCATGATAGCACTGAACCATTGTTGGTATGTCAGGTTGTTTTCTGTCCTATACTTTCACCTGCAGTTTGATCCATGATTTTTCTCAACAGGGGTGACCTCTCAACAGAGGAGGCTGATCTGTCTGCCCTCTGGTTTCCCAGAAGATCATAATCATGCTGCAGTTGAAATTGTGCTTCAAGGTAACTTGATGTCATCACTTTCTGGACTGCTTATAGTCATCTCAGTATGACAAATGCACCCTTTATGTTACATCTTGAAAATCTGGCATCATCCATTCTTCCTACATCTTCCTTTCAATGCAGACAAGTTACAATAAGCATGTCTTCAATGCCAGTATGTAGGAGACAGTATTAAATCGCCTGTGAGCAGTTTGTGTTTCAACAAGCCCTCCTGGTGATTTTGAAACATGCTAAGTTTGAGAGGCACTAGGTTAGGTAATAAACAGTAACTGCTGGAACAGAAATCCCCCAGAGCTCACAACAAAGTCTCCTTTCTTGCTCACATTACAGTCCAATATGGGTGAGACAGGTGCCCTCTGTCTTGTAGCTAAGACATCTTAAACACTTGGCTTTCAAGTTGCTGAGGGAGGAAAAGAGATCTGAAAGGTTGCTTGGGAAGGATTTATGGGTCAGGCTTTGGATTAGCGTATATTACATCTGCCCACATCTTGTCTGCCAGAGTCTAGTCAGTTAACTGCAACATCCAGCCAAGGAGGCTAGGGAATGTAGAGGAGCACATGGATGTTTGTGGGAGTTAACAGATGGCCACAAGCAGGAGCAGAGAAGCAGTATATTACATCCATCAGCAGATAAGTCGTTCTAATTTTTTCTTTTATTTATAGGTGGTACTAACAGTAAAGAAGCCCCCTGGCATCCAGGTTCGATGCATGAGACAGGGCACTCAGGGCCAGTGCACTGGGATGACCCTGAGGGGTGGGGTGGGGAGGGGCTACACATGTACATCCATGGCTGATTCATGTCAATGTATGGCAAAAACCACTACAACATTGTCAAGTAATTAGCCTCCAATTAAAATAAATAAATGAATTAAAAAACAAACAAAAAAGAACTCCCCTGGCAATGCAGGTAGACATAAGAGACAAGGGTACGATCCCAGGGTTGGGAAGATTCCCTGGAGGAGGCCACAGCAACCCACTCCACTATTCTTGCCTGGAGAATTCAAGGGACAGAGAAGACTAGCAGGCTACAGTCCATGGGGGTCTCAAGAAGTCAGACACGACTAAAATGACTGAGCATGCACATAGCATCTATGGGCTCCTGGCACCCAACTATTACCTTAAAAGTCATCTTCCAACTTGTGTTTGACCCTTCTTCTAGACTAGGGTCTGTTTATTCCTCCCAGAGCTTTGTCTCTGAACCAGTTTGTGGCCGGGCACAGATAAGATGTAGATATAGATATACGCAGACAAAAAAACACACAGAAAAGTAAACACAAATAGACAATCAGACATAAAAATGAAAAGGCTGGTTCAAACTGTACTGAAGTGTAGAAATGAAAGATTATTATCTTCCAAACTATACTCTTCCCACTTCCGCAGAAGAACCAAACTTGAACCATGTGTGGTTCGTCTGGTGTTTAACTTCTTAACTCTCAACGAGGATCATGAACTTCAGTCTCACAGACCAGGCAGCAAAGTAAACACATTAAGCAGGGCATAAGGAACACAGGTGCAGGGCTGAGGAATGTGCTCAGTGGCATAGCACAAGCTCCATCCAAGGGAGGCCCGTTTGTCGGCTCTGGTTAGTTGCTCCCAAGCAGAAATGCAACTTCAACGCTGCTAGATCTTTCTTCCACTTTTTTTTCTCAAGAAAAATGGGAAGCATGAATGTTTTGGATATGTTTCTTAATTTTTACAAACATTTAATGGGAAATAAAAAATAAAAAAGGCCTCTTTTGCAGAATTTGCTTGTGGGCTACCAATTTGCAATTCCTGCATTAAATTGTACGTTTATACCTCCATTTTACATTAACACCTTCAACTGTTTAACAAATGTAAAGCCCCAAATTTACAACTTAAAATATCTCTTTACTTTTTCACATGAAGGGTGATGAATTTGCCAAGCTTATACTCTATTTCCAGTTGATTTCCACTCCTTTAATATTGTACTAGTCATGTTATTACCAAACTGTGTATTTATTTATCAAAGTTGACATGCATTAACTCCTTAAGTCCCAATATTAAGATAAAAAAATTAGTGCTTCTCCACATCTTTCTTCCTCCTTTCCTCCATATTTTCTTAGCTCTGTTAGCTGTGCCATTATTTTTTACATTGACCAAATTCATGTTATTTAAGTTATGTATTGTCATTATAATTAATTAACTATATAACCTTTTGCCTATTTTATATTTTAAAATTCAGAACCAATAAATGTTTTCAGTATTATAATTACAGTAATTATTAATCACCACAGAACTAGGTAGAATGATATAATCCTGTTTCACCCAGCCTTATCCATGTGACAGACAACACTCCAGGAGTGAAAGTCAAGGGGTTCTCTTTCCTTCCACATCATGAGGAGCTCAAAATCATCCCATATTGCACCTTTCTTTGTATTTTTCGAGGCTTCCTCACATAAATCTTTTCTTTTCCTTGAGTTTCCAATCTTCTTTCCATTGTCCTTATTGGAAGAAGAAACTTGAGCTTTTATTTCAGCCTCAGGATAATCCTTCCTTTCAAGTTTACAACATGTTGAGGTTAATCCTTTTGTTCTTAAAAACACTGTGGTTAGAACCCTTGATATTCATGTTCCAATTTTGACCATTTTTCTTCTCACGTGCCACAGAGCCCACTCTGAGGGGATTTCTTGTCATGGTTCTTTTGTGCTGGGGCCACTATTTCTTAGATCCTGTGACTTCTATTTCTTCAGTTCCTTTTTTGTTGGTTTGAAGAGAAACCACAATTACTTTTTTTAAAAGAATTGCTAAGTAAAACAACTCATTTTGTGTTTGAAAATACATTGATTTTACACCCTCACACTTTTGCTGCCCTCAGATTGAGAACTCTAAAGGAGAATGTCTAGTTCTTTTGGTGCCTAGATATAAATCTTTCATCTTGTACCCAGTTGACACTTGGTCTTTTCTTTATCTTTCATAACTTTGCTCCTCTTTATACTCCTCTGCCCTCTCCATTTTCTCCTGCTTAATTTATTTCTATTTATTTTTCTTTTTTGGGACTTTGTCTCAGATATTTTGTAACTCCTGATCAATTTTCCATGTCTCTTTATTTTTCTTTAACATATATGTTAAAGCAATGATGTGTTAAATATATATAATATAAATATCCTACTTTAAAATTATGTATGATATTTATACATATTAAATTTTTTATTTTATATTTATGTAAATATATTTTCAGTTCAGTCCAGTTCAGTCACTTAGTCATGTCCGACTCTTTCCGACTCCGTGTACTGCAGTACGCCAGGCTTCCCTTCCATCACCAACTTCCAGAGCTTACTCAAACTCATGTCCACTGAGTCGGTGATGCCATCCAACCATTTCATCCCTTCAATCTTTTCCAGCATCAGGGTCTTTTCCAATGAGTCATTTCTTCGTATCAGGAGGCCAAAGTATTGGAGTTTCAGCTTCAGCATCAGTCCCTCCAGTGAACACCCAGGACTGATCTCCTTTAGGATGGACTGGTTAGATCTCCTTGCAGTCCAAGGGACTCTCAAGAGTCTTCACCAACACAACAGTTCAAAGCATCAATTCTTTGGTACTCAGCTTTCTTTATAGTCCAACTCTCACATCCATACATGACTTCTGGAAAAACCAAAGCTTTGACTAGACAGACCTTTGTTGGCAAAATATATTTTATACATATATAAATGTATATATATAAAGTTTTATATATTGAATCTATATGCATTTAATTAAACAAGGCTATTAGACTGGGTTGGTTCCAACCCTTGGTGGCCTGTGTAAGCAAAGCAAAATGTAAGCCAAGATCAGTGTGCTAGAATCTGCAAAAAAGAAACGTAAGGACAACTAATGACAGACATCCAATAAGGCTTTTCCAAATAAGGCAATTCCATAAGCTATAGCCAGTCAAATAATGTCTTTGCTCTGTTTTTCTATCTCCTCTATAAAAGCTTTATCCCAGTCAGTGGAGCATTCTTAACTCCTTTCAGTTTGGTGCTGTCTGATTTGAATTGATATTTGCTCAAATAAAGTCTCAGGGGCTTCCCTGGTGGCTCAAAGGTTAAGAATGAGCCTGCAGTGTGGGAGACCTGGGTTTGATCCCTGGGTTGGGAAAATCCCTGGAAAAGGGACTGGCAACCCACTCCAGTATTCTAGTCTGGAGAATTCCATAGACAGAGAAGCCTGGCAGGCTACAGTCCATGGGGTTGCAAAGAGTTGAACACTACTGAGTGACTGACACACACAGAATATGTGTTGGAAAAGAGTGGTTGGAAAAACAGTTTGCTGCTTAGTTTGGAAGAGTCATCTATGGAAATGGTATTTTATTCTGTAGGTATGCCAACCCTGAATATTCATTAGAAGGAAGAACTGTTGCTGCAGCTGAAGCTACAATACTTTGGTGACCTGATTTGAAGAGCTGGCTCATTGGAAAAGACTTTGATGCTGAGAAAGATTGAAGGCAAAAGGAGAAGAAGGCGACAGAGGATGAGATGGTTAGAGAGCATCCATGGACATGACTTGATGGACATGAATCTCAGGAAACTCTGGGAGATAGTGAAGGACAGGGGAGCCTGGCGTGCTGCAGTCCACAGGTTCACAAAGAGTTGGAAACAACTTAGCAACTGAGCAACAACAACAGCAGCAGTAATTAAAAAGCGAACAGAGGTTTTAAAGCATGAGCATGGTAATTTGGGGCAGGGAACAGGGACTATTTTCCTTCTACTTATCTTAGGTTCATTGGCTGATGCCTTGTAAATCAGACAAACAAGAGATTATTCATAAGAGAATAAAAACAGAAGTTTTTAAACACATGCACAGTTCATACGCATAGAAGTACTCAGTGATGACTAACTCAAAAAGAGTGGTTAGAACTTGGGTTGGTGTGGCACCTTAACAAAAGAACAATAATTTTTTTTAGGGAAATGGTAAGACAGAGGAAAAGGACATTGAGTATCTACAGGAGCAAATTATGAAGATAAATACTAAGATAAATGTAAATATATGGGGAAGCTAATGGAAGATAAGGGCTATTCTGTAAAATTTGTTACTTAGGATTCTCAGATTCTGTCTATGGACTGATAAGGATCTAGAGTTGCTGGTGATTAACTTCTATCCTTCCAGGAGGGGGACAAACAGTTTTATAAATTTATGTCCTGCTTAGAAAAATAGGGGGAAGGTAGAGAGCTCTTCTTTTTTTCTGATTTTTCTTAATTGTCTTGAGTGCAAAATAATCATTACGCCAAAATGACATATTTTGTAGTGACATATTCTGCTACAATTCAGCAGTCAAATTTTAGGTTGATAGATGATAGGTAGGTTGTTTTAAGATGATAACCTGCAGGATTTGTGGGGAAAGCACTAGAATGAGAAGGAGAAGTCCAGTCTGGAATTAATATAATGGTACATTTGAAACCATTTACCTCAGATTGGGACTTGAACCCATGTGCTGGGACTAGAACCCAGCCAAAACACATAGTACCTGGTTTCAGGACCTAATGAAGCTCAGGGTCTTGATGTCTCATCACAGAAAGAATTTAGTGAGAGACAAGTGATAGATAAGAAGTGGATTTATTCAGATTCAGAGAGAAGCGACACCCCACAGGCAGAGTGTGGGCCATCTCAGAGGGCAAGTGCGGCTGTGAAATGTGGTGTGGTTAGTTTTTATGGACTGGGTAATTTCATGTGCTAATGAGTGGGAGGATTATTCCAGCAATTTGGGGGGAGGGGTGGAGATTTCCAGGAATTGGGCAACCGCCCGCCCACTCGTTGGTCTTTTGACAGTGCCTTAGAACTGTTGTGGTGCCTCTAGTAGTTGGGCTCCCTTTGTGGCTCAGCTGGTGAAGAATCCAACTGCGGTGCGGGAGACCTGGGTTCGAGCCCTGGTTTGGGAAGATCCCCCAGAGAAGGGAAAGGCTACCCACTCCAGTATTCTGGCCTGGAGAATTCCATGGACTGTACAGTCCATGGGGTCACAGAGAGTCACTTTCAGCAGTAGTAGTAGTGTTAGTCGATGAGTTATGTCCCACACTCTGTGTGACCCCAAGGACTGTAGCCCACCAAACTTCTCTGTCCATGGGATTCTCCAGGAAAGAATGAAGAATACCGGAGCAGGTTGCCATTTCCTCCTTGGGGGATCTTCCCGACCCAGGGATCAAACCCAGGTCTCCAGCATTGCAGGCAGATTCTTTACCGTCTGAGCTCCAATCAAAGTCGACTTGTCTGCCATCTTGGGCCCATTTGATTTTAATCAGTTTATGTTGTGTCCTTGGACAACGTCATTCTTTCAAAAGTTGTGCCCTGCCCCTTTCCCTTCCGTGACACATATATACTCTGTTTTTGTTTCTTAGGGACCATTCATTCTTAAGACCCCAAAGGCTAACAATGATCGCAGCGGGAATATGAAACTGAGCAGGAGCCTGCGGTGCCCTCCCCAGTACAAATCCTTTCCTTATTCCTCATTTCCTATTTGTAAGAAATAGACCTCATTCAGCCTCACTGACCTTTTCTGAGTTCCAAAGGGCAGATTCAAACAGTTGCTAATCAGGGATGGGAGTGGAGGCAGAAATAAGTGGAGGAGCGGCCAAGAAACAATACTGCAGCTTTGAGGCAGGATCTTGGTTCCTTCTTGAGGAAAATATATAGCAGTACCATTCAGTTCTTTTGTCTAGAACTAAAGTCTTCACCCGAGTGGAGGATGGTAACTCCAGACTAAGCACAAGATTCCTGGAGCATCACCCTGTTACCTCACCACCAACCAATCAGAAGAAAATCACAGACATTACAACCCTTACCCCAGATATTTTCTATTAAAAACTTCTCCTAAAAAAACACACATCAGAATGTTCCCCCCACCCCTTTATTTTTTTTTACCATAAGCCACCCTCTCTCTTTGCGTGGCCCTGCAACAAACCTTTCTCTGCTCCAAATTTCAATGTTTAGGTTTGTTTGAGCTCATTGGTGACACTAGTGGTAAAGAATCTGCCTGCCAATGCAGGAGATGCAAAAGATGCGGGTTCAGTCCCTGGGTCAGGAAGATCACCTGGAGTAGGAAATGGCAACCCACTCCAGCATTCTTGCCTGGACAATTCCATAGACAGAGAAGCCTGGTGGGCTACAGTCCAAGGGTCACAAACAGTTGGATGTGACTGAAGTGACTAAGCAACAATATCATGCATCTGGCATAAGAGCTTGAATTCAGTAACAAAAATATAGTTTTCACAAAGTGTTTATGAATTTAAAGATTCTCCTGAAGACACAGAAGCAGAAATATGTCTTAATAAATATAAAATGGGCTCCCCTGGTGGCTCAGTTGGTAAAGAATCTACCTGCAATGTGGGAGACCTGGGTTCAATCCCTGGGTGGGGAAGATCCCCTGGAGAAGGGAATGGTCACCCATTCTAGTGTTCTTGCCTGGAGAATTCCATGGACGGAGGAGCTTGGCAGGCTACAGTCCATGGGGTCACAAAGAGGAGGACACAACTAAGCTACTAATATGCACACAAAATATAAAATAAGAGAACTAGTAAGTATTTTTAAATGTGTAGGAAAACTTACAAATGCAGATGGCTAATGTGACTCAATGAATGCAGTTGTTTAAGGCTGATTGAATAGATTCATTAATTGTCTTAGTGGAACCCAAGGCTTAAGCTATCTAGTCAACATGAGAAGAAAGAATTTTGATAGTACACCACTATAAATATGCCCACAAATTTTCTTCCCATACTTTATAATAAATTTCAGTCATACACTTAGGTAATTGTTAGCTTAGGACCATATCCATAGACCATGTCCAGTTTCAAGTGTTATAGATTTGAAACCAAAAATTTATTTCCAAATAACTAAATTCCCCTATCTCTATTTCTAGAATGCCACAAAGAGAACAGAGGCCCAATGTATTGCCTCTTAAATCCTTTTCTGTTTTTGCTTTTAATGTGGTAGTTGCTCTCATGCTTCTTACTTCCAAAACTCCCTGAGCCTCTTTCCTCTGAGCCAGTCTGAGCACTATAATTTTGTGGTTGTTTGGTTGGGATTTTGCTTCTTTTTTTAATTTCCACCACTTTCCTTTTGAGTTTGCATCATAGAAGATCAGAAGAATCAGCCTGGCAGCTTCATTCTCAGTAGATGGCCAAGAATGAGAAGAAATGAAGAGAGCAATGGCAAATCATCTTAGACAAGCAGGAATAATGGCTGCAGGGGACAGAAACAGAAGGAAAGGGGACAGGACACAACCTCTCAAAGAATGACATAGCCATAGGACATGGCAACACTGGTTAGAACAAACTATGTTCAAGATGGTGGAATATTTGACTTGCAATAAACCTTGAGCCTCATCATATAATCAGGCACTTTGTAATATATTAGCACCCTAAATGACACATTCACCAGTCCCATGACAGTTCTGAGGCTAACCATGAAAGACCAAAAGGTGGATGGTGGCCCAATTCCTGGAAATCTGCACCCCTTCCCCCCCCAAAATAAGTGGAATAGTGAAATTACCCTATGAAATAACCCAGTCTATACCACAAAACTTGGAGAAGGCAATGGCACCCCACTCCAGTACTCTTGCCTGGAAAATCCCATGGACAGAGGATCCTGGTAGGCTGTGGTCCATGGGGTCGCGAAGAGTCAGACATGACTGAACGACTTCACTTTCACTTTTTACTTTTATGCATTGGAGAAGGAAATGGCAACCTACTCCAGTGTTCTTGCCTGGAGAATCCCAGGGATGGGATTATACAGAGTCAGACATGACTGAAGTGATTTAGCAGCAGCAGCAGCATACCACAAAACTATGCCATATTTTGGGGTCTCTTGCATTCTGAGATGGCCCATATTCTGTCTATGGAGTGTGTTTCTCTCTAAATAAATCCACTTCTTACATGTCATTTTGTGTCTCATTCAATTCTTTCTGTGATGAGATATCAAGAACCTCAAATTCACAGGGAACAGAACCATTCACTGAGGAATTTATCTCCAGTAGCAAATTGGACCAGGGTGAATCCAACCAGTCCATCCTAAAGGAGATCAGTCCTGGGTGTTCATTGGAAGGATGGATGTTGAAGCTGAAACCCCAATACTTTGGCCACCTGATGCAAAGAGTTGACTCATTTGAAAAGACCCTGATGCTGGGAAAGATTGAGGGCAGGAGGAGAAGGGGATGACAGAGGATAAGATGGTTGGATGGCGTCACTGACTCAATGGACATGAGTTTGGGTAGGCTCCAGGAATTGGTGATGGACAAGGAGGCCTGACATGCTGCCGTTCATGGGGTCTCAAAGAGTCGGATACGACTGAGCGACTGAACTGAACTGAACTGAACTGAACTGAACTGAACCAGACATAAGGAAGGGGTTATACTAAAGAAGAGAGATAAGATAAAATATGGGAAAAGTTGGAGTATATGTCTGGTCTTCGGTCTGATAAACTATGCTCCTCTCTGGTTTTCACACTGGGTTAATGAGAGTGAAATAGAGTCTGAGGTATCTAGTATATATTCTCTCAGATATTTGGTTAGGCTATGATTTATTCATCTTAAGTTGTTAGATGGGGAAGTTACAAATAACAATGAAATAATAGTTAATGTTTACTGAATGCTAGTCCCTTTGGAAACATTTTCTCATTTAGTTCTCACAGATGCTTAAGAGGTTTATACTGTATACTTTACAGATAAAGTATGTACTTATAAAGTATATTTATACACTTTATAGATAAAGAACTTTAGAAAATTTAAGTAACTTGCTCAGGTTGGTGGAGCCAAAATTTGAACACAGATAGTTTTAGTCTAGAGTTCATAATTTAGCAATTGGATTGAGCATGTGCTATAACCTTTTCCTTCCACACTAAATCCCTAGAAGGGATGGAAGGGAGGGTAAGAGTATTTATAAAACACATTAAATTGAAGTTAAAAAAGTTATCTCACCTCATGAAGTTTCCTCTAAATTTTTAGCTTTTATAAAAATGATAAAAATTCTCCTGAACCATGAAAATTAGCTAATCTCAGAGAGAAAGACCTTTACTAATGGCTAGTTGAATTAACTAGCTATAATAGCGTCTCTGGGAGGAAGTTAACACTATTTTTCAAATAAACAAGTATGTTTTGAGTGCCAGTAGGGCCCTAATTTGGAAGCCAAACAAGATGTATAAAACTTTGATCTTGTATATAGAACACTTAACTGGGATAGTATATATAAAGTGTGTAGCCCAATCTGTTGTCTACAGCATGTCAATTTATGTTGATTCTGTTCCCTGTTCTCCTTAAGGTGTAATTGGGGAAACATGACTAATGCATCTGAAACATATGTAAACTCATGAAGTACAATTGGTATAGGTAATATGTGACTTTTCAGGTGGTGCTAGTGGTAAAGAACCCAAGGCAGAAGGGTTTGATCCCTGGGTCAGGAGGATCCCCTGGAGGAGGGCATGGCAACCTACTCCAGTGTTCTTGCCTAGAGAATCCCATGGACAGAGGAGTCTGGCGGGCTAAGGTCCATAGGGTTGCAAAGAGTTGAGCATGATTGAAGCGACTTACATGCATATATAGCTAATATGTGCTATATTTTAAATAGAAGTGAAGAGATAGGGAAGGCTTCGCAGGGGAAGTGGGTTTTGAATTGGGATTTTGCAGACTGGTAAGATTTACTTAAAGAGGTAGGTACTTATTTTAGGAAGATGAAATAATTTAAATGTATGCAAGATTAAATACAAGTTTAGGAGATTATTGGATGTATTTGTATAAGTTAAACATCCTTTTTTGAAACTGAAAAAAAATGCCATAATTTCTAGAAAATGGTGAGATTTTAAGTCTTTTCACTAATTTGGGTTAAACAGCATAACTATAATGAATGCTTTGGTGGTACATTATCCCAAATGAAATAAGCACTGGGAGTGGAGACATCTGACCCCAAAAGAGCTCTTGAAACAAAACAAAGGTACACATCAAATGCTTGGTTTTAGTCCAAGGAAACCTCAGAGTCTGGCTAAAGTGAAGTATTTCAAACATGTTACTTAGGATAACAGCCCAGGTTTTGGGACTCTTTCAAATTATTTAAAGAAGGGACAGTCATAAAAAGAGCATCATCTTCAGCATTATCCCACCAAATATTATTAACAATTTGTCCTTACAAATGTAAACTTTTCTTCTTATTGTAATTATTAAATTAACCACCCTGTGCAACTTTCAGTACTCAATATATTATACTGGAAGTTACATAGAAATCGGAATGTACAATTTGGAAGTGATTAAAGAAGCATCACTTCGTTATAAGACAACGATTTTGTATACAACCACACATTTTTGTTATTTTACAGTCTTGGTGTTCCTTGTGTATTTTTAAGGGAATAACTTTGCATAATGAAAGTCTGAATATTGGGAATTACTCTTTGGTTTAGATAGGAAAATTGGATCTTGCTAAAGCTGAGATGTATAGTCATTAGTCCTACTGCAGTATATTATGAAAAGATAACGGAATTACTATCTCAAAATTTATATTGCTGTTCCGTATTATGTAAACTTGCAATATTCTGTATGGTGCCTGGTATATTCCAGAGAAAAGGAAAACCAAAGAGGATAGCATTTTAATAACATTAGGTCACACGAATTTACTTTTGATACAATGCACATGGGATGAAATACAAACTCTATTAGAACTAATCAAAAACACATGCCAAAAAATAGAAATATGGCCCATTGTCTTTAATACGTTCAAGTGCCATTTAATACCAAAAATATCATACAATTAACTTGATTGCTTACATATTGAATAGTGGATCTAATAGTTATCAAATGGAATAACATATTAAAATGTTCTATGAATTAAGAAGCATCATAAAATGTAAGGTTTTATAATAGTAGCTATCTTTAACCAGTGCATTTTATAAGAAATAGATGGTACATATCTAACATCTTTAATTGTATATCTCCATTTGGATATTTTGTTAATGAATGATTCCAGATTATTGGCTCTGTCAAATCTGTTGGTACTAGAACTTTCAGAATAAAAATAAGAAATGAAGTAAAATAGACCTAATATTAAAACACTTCATTTTTTTCTCTAAATAATTGTGAAAGGAAAATAGAAGTAGTTAAAATTTCAGATAAAAACTGTTTAAAATGCATTTTATACATATCTAAAGATAGTGCCTAGAGATATTTAACACCTCATTTTGGTTTCTGCAAATATACAGAACACAATGCTAGGAAACTGTTGGCACTTGAGTCTTAATGTCATTATTTTCAGATCCAGCTTCCAAAGAATATAATCCATCTCATTAGAACTGATTCAAATGAATTCTTTTTAATGGCTGAGTAATATTCCATGGTGTATATGTACCACAGCTTCCTTATCCAAAAACCACTACAATATTGTAAAGTAATTAGCCTCCAACTAATAAAAATAAATGAAAAAAAAAGAAAAAAAAATAAATAAAACTTAAAAAAAAAAAAAAGAATATAATCACTTCCAAGCACTAGTGCAATAGGTCTCAACTATAGGCAACAAACAATGAAATTGATGCGTCACCCCTTAGATGGAGACAAACACACTTCTATTGCTCAGAAACATGTCTAATCTTTAGTTAGTTAGTAGGTCTGCTAAATGCCAACATCTGCTGGACCATCGGAAAAGCAAGAGAGTTCCAGAAAAACATCTATTTCTGCTTTATTGACTATGTCAAAGCCTTTGACTGTGTGGATCACAACGAACTGGAAAATTCTTCAAGAGATGGGAATACCAGACCACCTGACCTGCCTCCTGAGAAATCTGTATGCTGGTCAAGAAGCAACAGTGAGAACTGGACATGGAATAGCAGAGCTGTCCCAAATCGGGAAAGGAGTAAGTCAAGGCTGTATATTGTCACCCTGCTTATTTAACTTATATGCAGAGTACATCATGAGAAACGCTGGACTGGATGAAGTACAAGCTGGAATCAAGATTGCCAGGAGAAATATCAGTAACCTCAGACATGCAGGTGACACCATCCTATGGCAGAAAGTGAAGAAGAACTAAAGAGCCTCTTGATGAAAGTGAAAGAGGAGAGTGAAAAAGTTGGCTTAAAGATCAACATTCAGAAAACTAAGATCACGGCATCTGGCCCAGCACTTCATGGCAAATAGATGGCGAAACAGTGGAAACATTGACAGACTTTATTTTTTGGGTCTCCAAAATCACTGCA